GGATATCTGATCATAATTTGAAAAGCTCTTGAAATAAGAAAATTGAGGTGGGTTAGTGAAAGAGTAGCAGAACATATTATATATTCCCCATATGATACACAAGTATAAATGACCCTCACATTCTAACCCTCCAACTCCTTATTCTCTGCTAACTATATTGTATGTTAAACTATATATGTTTTTCCCTAGAGAAATTTTGGCTTCCACAGTAAATCAAGTGGAAATATTTTTGATACAATTATTACCCATGTTCCATAATAATGCTAATATTTAAGAGTAATTATAATTCTGATTAAAATGCCTAAGGTCATTCTAAAGTTCTTAAAGCTCTTGTCATATTTGCATATGCATTCTTGGGGCCCCTTTATCAAATAAGTCAGTATTACTTATTATATCATTAGTAATATAATAAAACATTATTGAAAATTTTATAAATAATGACATACACATAATCTGATGAATAATAAACTCTGTTTTAAGTAATTGTATAGGTAATTTGAAATGATCCATGGTCACACCTTGAATGTGTAACTCACCTAACAGCTGACTTAAAGAACATTTTGTGGTTGACCATCTCATATTTTCTTTATTTTTTTCAGCTTTATTGGGGTACTACTGAAAATAAAGTTAGAAGTTCTTTAAAATGTACATTGTGGTGATTTTATATATGTATATAACAATGAAAGAATTCCCCCATCTCGTTATTTAATACATTCATCACCTCATACAGATTTTTTTTTTAGTGAGAACATTTATTTTCTATTCTCCTAAATTTGTTATACAATAAAGTATTATCAACTATCAGACCTTGTTCGTCTTCTAGCTGAAAGTCTGTACCCTAATACCAACTTGTATTTCTCTCACCTCCCAACCCCAGGCAACAACCTTTCTACTCTTGTCTATGAGTCTGACTTTTTAAAAATGATTCCACATATAAATGAAACCATGCAGTATTCATTATTCTCTGTCTGGCTTATTTTACTTAGCATAATGCCCTTAAAGTTCATCTATGTTGTCACAATGGCATGTTTTTCTTATTTTTCATAGCTAAATAATATTCCATTGTATACATATACCACATTTTCTTTAACCAATCATCTGTTTAGGGACCCTTAGGCTGTTTCTATATCCTGGTTATTGTGAATAATACTGCAATGAACATGGAAGTATAGCTATCTCTCCAAGATAATGTTTTCGTTTCCTTTGAATATACACTCAGAGTGAAATTGTGAAATCAAATGATAATTCTATTTTTAATTGCTTAAGAAATTTCCATACTAACTATACCAGTTAACATTCCCACCACCAATGAACAAGAGTTTTCTCCACATGCTTGTCAGCATTCGTTATCTCTTTTTTTGATGCTAGACACTCTAACAGGTGTGAGGTGATATCTCATTGTGATTTTCATTTCCTTGACAATTAGTAATGATGAACATATTTTCCATTTACCTGTTGGCTATAGTTTTTAATTAATCTTTACTGTATTTTTTCCCATTACCATTTAGTCTCCTTATACCGTCTCTAACCAACAATCACCAAACTGTTGTCCATGAGTTCTTTTTACTTTTTGCTCAATCTCTCCACCCTCTTACGCCCCACCCCCGACTAGCTGTCATCCTGCTCTCCATCTATGAGTCTTCCCCCATTTTTCTTTGTTAGTTCAGTTTGTTCATTAGATTCTACATATGAGTGAAATCATATGGTATTTGTCTTTCTCTGACTGGCACATTTCACTTAGGATAACGTTCTCCTGGTCCATCCTTACTGTTGTAAAGGGTAAAATTTTCTTGTTTTTTATGGCCAACTAGTATTCCACTGTGTAAATTTCCGTAGTTGTTTTACCCACTCATCTGTTGATGGACACCTGGGCTGCTTCCATCTCTTGGCAATTAAAAATAATGCTGCAATGAACATAGGGATGCTTATGTTGTTTTGAATTAGTGTTTTGGGTTCCTTCGGATATATTCCCAGAAGCGGGATGGCTGGGTCAAAAGGCAGATCCATTTTTAATTTTTTGAGGTATCTCCATACTGCTTTCCACAGTGGCTGCACCAGTCTGCATTCCCACCAACAGTGCAAACGGATTCCCCTTTCTCCACCTCCTCACCAGCACTTGTTTGTTGATTTATTGATGATAGCCATTTTGACAGCTGTGAGATTGTATCTCACTGTGGTTTTAGCTTCATTTCTCTAATGATTAGTGACATTGAGCATCTTTTCATATGTCTATTGGCCATCTGTATGTCCTTTTTGGAGAAGTATCTATTTAGGTCCTTGGCCCATTTTTTTTAATTGGGTTATTTTTCTGATGTTGAGTTTTGTTAAGTGTTTTATAAATTTTGAATATTAATCGCTTACCAGATGTATCAGCAAATATGTTCTCCCATTCTGTGGGTTATCTTTTTATTTTGTTGATGATTTCCTTTGCTGTGCAAAAACTTTTTAGTTTGATGTAGTCCCATTTGTTTTATTTTTTCTTTTGTTTCCCTTGCCTGGGGAGACATATCCAATAAAAAATTGCTATGAGCAATGTCCTTGATTTTGCTACCTATGTTTTCTTCTAGGATTTTCATGGTTTTGTGTCTAAGATTTAAGTCTTTGATCCCATTTTGAATTTATTCTTGTGTGTGTTGTAAGAAAGTGGTCTACTTTTATTTTTCTGCATATATATGTCCAATTTTCCCAACACCATTTATTGAATAAACTATAATTAGACCATTATATTTGCTTGTTTCCTCTGTCAAAAATTAATTGATTATAAATGTGCATGTTTATTTCTGGGCTCCCTGTTCCATTGATCTAAGTGTCTGTTTCTATGCCAACACCATGCTGTTTTGGTTACTATGGCCTTATAGTATAGTTTGATATTAGGTAGTATGATTCCTCCAACTTTGTTCTTTTTCCCAGGATGGCTGTTGCTATGCAGGGCCTTTTGTGGTTCCATATAAATTTTTGAAATATTTGTTCTAGTTTTGTGAAATATATCATTGGAATCTTGATAGGAATTGCGTTGAATCCATAGATTGCTTTGGGTAGTATGGATATATTAATGATGTTAATTCTTCCTATCCATAAACACACTATGTGCATGCTTCCATTTATTTGTATCTTTTTCAGTCTCTTTCTTCAATGCCTTATAATTTTCTGAAAACAGGTCTTTCACATCCTTGGTTAGCTTTATTCCTAAGTATTTTATTCTTTTTTGTAGCAATTATGAATGGGATTTTTTTTTTAATTTCCCTTTCTGTTAGTTCATTATTGGCATACAACTATGCAACTAATTTCTGGATGTTAACTTTGTAACCTGCCACTTTCCTGAATTGATTTTCTATTTCTTCTTTAGAAAATTGTCTATTCATTTCCTCTGCCCATTTTTTAATTGGGTTGATTTTTCACTATTGAGTTGTAGGAATTCTTTATATACTTTGATATTAACTCTTTATCAGATACATATATTGTTTGTAAATATTCTCTCCCATTCCATCAGTTGCTTTTTCATATTGTTGTTGGTTTCCTTTACTGTGCAGAAGCTTTTTAGCTTGATGAAGTCCCACTAGTTCATTTTTGCTTTTGTTCCTTCATTTTTATTTTTGGTGTCAAATGCAAAATTACTGCTAAGGCAAATGTCAAGGAGCTTACAACCTATGTTTTCTTCTCAGAGTTTCAAAGTTTCTGTCTTACATTCAAGTCTCTAATCCATTTTGAGCTGATTTTTATGTATAGTATAAGACAGAAATCTAGTTTCATTCTTTTGCCATGTGGCTGTCCTATTTTGCCAATACCATTTATTAAAAAGACTATCTTTTCCCCACTGTATAGTCTTGGCTCCTTTGTTGTAAATTAATTGACCTTATATGCATGGGCTTATCTTTGGGCTTTCCATTTTGTTCCATTGATTTATGTGTCTATTTTTATGCCAATATCATACAGTTTTGATTACTATAGCTTTGTCATATAATTTGAAATAAGGAAACATGATGCCTCCATCTTTGTTTTTCTCTCTCAAGATTACTTTGGCTATTCAGGATCTTTCTTTCTTTTTTCTTTTTTTTTGTACCAGAGAAAGAGTAGATCATTCTAATAATTTTTCTCATAAAATGTAACAAGCAATATGAATCAAATTGGATTTCTTCTCTTAAATCTACTTTCAAAGCAAAGTAATAGTAAATAGAGAAAGAGGGTAAAAAGATAGGAAAAAGTGGACAGCAGTAGACATGAAATCATGGTTTCAACTCTACAACTTTATACCTAATAAACACCAACTTCTGGTCTTGAAAAGAGTGACATAGATTCATCTCAAAACTAAATAACCAAATAATAACAGTACCAAAACCCCAGAACATAAACATTGGCCTTTATTGTCAGAATCAACCATTTTAGTGTTTAAGATGTTGTCCTGTTACTTTTTCTCCTTAATACTTACAAAGCTCACATGGCAATATATGGGAGTTTCTTAAGGCTCTTTGAAATTAAGGTACTACTCTCCAAAAACACATCTATCATCAGTCCTTCTTTTGCTCTACAAGGGTGTCATTTTTCCCATTTTATTAACCCTGGGGTCAACTAGCATTTATAATCACTTCAAAGTAATTATAAAATTGCTAATTACAATAGCAAGAGACAGAAATTTCTCGCTCAAAAGTAAGGTTAAAAAAATGGACATAGGGTACTTTAAGTTTTAATTAATGTTGATTTCAACTATTCTCTAAATCATACTTAAGAACTCTCAGCAGTGATGGGGCAACTGATGAAATAGCCATTTTCATGTAGAAAATATAAGGAAGATTTAGTGGACACAGTTACTGACTTTTTTAAGTATAAACACCCCAAAATTAGCATTGGCATTTGTTTTTCTAAGGAATTCATAAGCACCTATTCGTAAGAGCAGGTTATGAATCATACTGGTATGCAACCTGAGGAAACAATGCCATGTTAGGTTGAGTACCCCAGACTATGCATAACAAAAGCAGTTCTACAGTACTGTAGGGCCTTCTTACCTTAAAAGTTGTGGTGCCATAGAGTTTGGTAGTGTGGACTGTCTCTGGAAGCACATTAGTGATATTGGTGATGAATTCTTCCAAGTACTTGCAGGATTTCTCCAGGTGTGTTGTATTAATAATAATCTGGACAAGCTGAAAAATAACAAGCACATGTAAAAGTCATTTGACTCTTCACCTCAGGACAAATGGCTCAATATGAATCTGCTGGTAGAAGAAAAACAAAAGGCATGATGGCAGAAACCATCTGTATTCTACGAAGGGTATTTTAAAGCATAGTTGTTATCATTTCATCTATGAAACCCTTTCTGACTACCCAAAGCATCTTGTATTTCCCCTACCTTATACAAAGTCTGTCCGGAAAAAGTACAGCCATTCTTAATATAACAAGAATGGTTTGTGTGACATCGATGTAACCTGGCAGCCAAGAGGAGTGGACTGGAATGCACATGCATGAACAATGAAAACTTCACTGTACTAGTCAGTGGAGGTCATGGACTCCATTGAGTAAGCACGTGTACTGTGTAGCCATCACGTTCAAAATGATTGAGTAGAGCAATGAATCTGCATCAAATTTTCTGTTAAGCTTAAACATTTCCTCTGCAGAAACTACTTGGATAATTCAGAAGGCTTTCGGAGATGATACAATGAGTGCAGCACAAATAAAAATGTGGCACAAATACTTTTAAGATGGTCAAGAATCTGCTGAAGGTGATCCACATTCTGGAAAGTCTGCAACAAGCAGAACACCTGAGAGCGCTGAATCTGTCAGGGCTGTAAGGAAGATCATGCTGCAGCTGCTAATGACTCGATCCAAACCCCTACCAATGAACCAGATTTCCTCAAGAAGGTCATAACTGGAGATGAATCATGGGTCTATGGCTATGGTCTGGAAACAAAAGCCCTGTCGTCCCAATGCAAGTCATCTAGATCTCCACACCTGAAGAAGGTGAGGCAAAGTTGCATCAAGATCAAGACCATGTTAACTGTGTTTTTTGATTGGGAAGGTATTGTCCATCACAAGCCAAACAATTACGCCCCTCAAAGCCAAACAATTAATAAGGAGTACTACTGCAATGTTTTTCATCAGTTGAGAGATGCAATACGATGAAAAAAAAGGCCACAACTATGGGCAACTGGTGATTGGCGGTTCATCACAATAATGCAAGTGCTCACGCATCACATCTCATGCAGATTGTTTTGGTGAAATGTCAAATCACCTAGGTGACTCAGCACTGCTACAGCCCAGATTTGGCATCTGTGACTTCTGGCTTTTCCCCAAACTAAAATCACCTTTGAAAGGGAAGAAATTTCAGACCATCAATGAGATTCAGGAAAATACCACAGGGCTGCTGATGGTGATTCCAACAAAGGATTTTGCAGAGTGTTTTGAGTAGTGGATGAGACACTGGGAGAACTGTGTGAGGTCCCAAGGTGCCTACTTTGAAGGGGAGTGAGGTGTCATTGTCCTATGTACAGAGTTTCTTGTATCCTACTTAGTAAATGTCTTGCCCTGGCTGGTGTGGCTCAGTGGATTAAGGGCTGGCCTGTGAAGCAAAGGATCGCCTGTTCAATTCCCAGTCAGGGCACATGCCTGGGCTGCAGGCCAGGTCCCCAGTAAGGAATATGTGAGAGGCAATTACACTTCGGTGTTTCTCTCCTTCCCCTCCCCACTGTCTAAAAATAAATAAATAAATTCTTTAAAATGAATGAATGAATAATGCCTTTCTTTTTCATAGTGCATGGCTGGGTACTTTCTGGACAGACCATATGGGTGTTCTCACCACTCTATTTCAAACATGCTTTCTTCTGTTTAAAAAGGACTAGACTAGGGGAAAAAAAACTAATAGTGTTTAGCATAATGCCTAGCCTTAAATAACTTCCAAATAAATAAACTCCCACTAAAAGAACAAGAATAATTGAAATGGAAAGAAAAAGTTTCAAAATTAGGCATGACGAACGGAGAGGCATTGGAATGGGTTGCGGGTAAATTAAACTACATTAGTCTATGGAAGAAAAAACATGGGCACTGAAGTTAGGGAAACCAGGGAATTAACTATTTACTTATTGATCTTGAGAACATTTCTTAACTTCTTTAAGCATGTTCCTTTATCTGTAAAATGTTAATAATAACTTATAACTCACAGAGTTATTGTAAAAATTAAATATCTTTAGTTAATGCTATTTTTCTTTTCTTATAGAAAATATCTTGAAAGAAGACTGTAGTGGTAAGATAAAAGTCATCCATAAATTACTTTGAGGGTAGAATGAGGAAGCAAAACTATTATTATCTATATAGAATTAAAGTTTGTAAAGCACTTCACAATTTATTTTCTTACATTGTCTTCCCAACAACCTGAAGAAAAAAACAAGTAGGAATAATTATTACTTCCATTTTTGTATTATGCAAATAAAATAAAAAGATTTTCCTTAGATCACATAACTAAATGGAACGAGGACTCAAGTCTAATTATCTACCTTCAATGATGAACCCATGTAAATGACTTCTAACTGTGCCTTTCGACCTAGTTTAAGTGGCAGCCCTGGCATACTGTATGTTAAGTACAGCAGGCTGAAGTAGGTTTTGTGTGTTCTATTAACTACAACCTTCCATACTTTGATTCCACTGTATATAAAAATAAAATACGAAGGAGTAGCACCTACTACTTATTCCAACTATGAAAACTATTCATATTCCCCAGAGTTTAAAAGAAATACAAAGAGAAAACAGAATGGAATGTTTTTTTCACTCTCTCACTCTCTCTTCAACATCCAAGTTTCATTTTCCTAAGACTATTTACCCGTGGTAGGGTTGTGGCAGGTAGGGGGAGTACTGGTGTATCAGGCAGCGGATGAACTTAGGGCCTTCTTTTAGTCTAATGAGACAGGGAGTAGGAGGGAGAGCAGGTAGATGGCGTAAAGGGGAAACTGGAACTAAACAGATAAATGGAGGTATGACAGATTTTTTACAGTCAAATGATATATTTCTGTGAAATATTAAACAAAAATATTAATAGGAATATAATCAAAAAGTAAAGTCTTTCTTCCTCAACAGCACTTAGCCCACAGTTCTTTCCAAAAAAAAATATATATATATATATATATATATGTCAACTCATAATGATAATGCTTTAGTAATAGATTGGACAAGGGAAAAGATACCTTCTACTCCACTAAGGACCAGCCAGAAGTTCTGAGAAAGACAGCCACTTTTTAACATGATGACAAAGACCCACAGATGCAGTTCCAATAGGGCAACACTGGGACTAGATCTCTGTATTATTCCCTACAACCATCAGACAAGTTCATATTCATCACTAGGCCCTTTCCATTCATTCTACAGTCTGAGTTCTGGATACAGATACTGTCTCCTATAAAATTATACAAAACATCAGCCTTTCAGCTTTAGGGTGCTCTAGAAGAAAACACACATCAAAATAAGCAATTTGTCATCTTTTTCCTTTCAACATGTTTCTCCCTCAGAGGACGACTAAAATTTTTTGATTGTATAAATTAAATCACTCTTCTTCCTGAGTGGAAAAGTGGCTATTGGCAAGGTTGTCTTGATACAGAAGTCAGAAAAGTAAGAGAGTTAATTTGGAGAGCTGAAGAATTTCTATTTTAAAATCAGCATTACTTATTGGGAACACATTCTATCTATCATAGAAATCTTAATAATAAGGAGAAATTGTGTCATGTTATCGAAATAAAAAACAGTGGCAGTCAAAGAGAAAATTGTTCTGTTTTGCAGGATATTGGCAGTTTAAAAAAAAAAGGAGGCGGCTTCACTGGGTACAGTAGTAATTTCCCATGACTTTTTAAAGATCTGTCAACACAAAAGATCACCATGAATTACATCAGTTGGCTGTCAGTCACTTCTGAAACGTTTCATTGCTGAGCATAGAATAGACTATTAAAACACTCTAGGATTGCAGTAGATACCATGTCATTTTCAAAGGGAATATTGTCTGCGGATGAGGTCTAAGTGATCCCTTCTCCTGAATGACAGCCAACCAAAATCCTTACAAGGGCATTTGCAAATGTAAAGCCAGATGCTTTGGGGTAATTTTAAACGTAAGGATGAAATAAAGCAATTTCAGATATCAACTTCCATCAGAGTTTGAGCTCCTTTGATATTTTTAACCCCTACTGCCCACTCTATTGTAAAAATATATCACTGCAGCAATCTAAACTGTCCTTAACATTGTTTCAAGGACATGGAACTAACAACAGATCAGATATTGGTTACGTCTTACATAAAGTAAAGTTCTATAAGAATTGTCAAAAAAAAGAGAAAACACTATAGAGCAAACAATCACCTCTCACAACTAAATAACTGAAGTCACTTTGGATAAAAATCATTAAGAAGCAGAACATGCTTCTGTCTCTCCCAGGATCAGAGAGAACCTAACGAGTCAGGGCACAGAGCTGACCATGTAAGTCACTCCTCCAACCCCGATGAAACACCCCAGCAGAGCCGGAACAATTACGACAGATAGATGTTCAGATTCTTGACAAACTCCAGGAAAGAAAGTGTCTTCATCATCTTCAATAGTTCAGAACTAAGCCATAAATTCTAAGAATAAATTTCCATCGCCAACTATAAACTGCCTCTAGCGTATTTATACCTACTTATGTTAGAATTGATATTATATTATTTCTCAAGCAAAGAATTTAATTTAGTACACTGAACCCCTCCAAAAGGACGAACCCAAAGCTGGTGAGTAAGAAGTCACACTCGTCCCCATGCCACCAAGTGCCCTTAGTGCTTCTCCACTGTTACATCTGCAAGAGGATAAAGAGCTAAACAGCAGCCATGGTTCTCACTCACAAAAACATGATCCCTAAGACTTCAAGAAATTTTTATCTCTATTTCACCCCTGCAAGGTACAAAAAGGTGTGTTAACTGATGATTTTATGTCATCTCCAAGGAAAACACCTAAAATACTAAAATATTTGAAACTACTGGTTCCAAATTCAAAGGTTAGTACAAAGCTTATATGTGACAAAATTTAAGTATAAAATGTTTTAACATAATATTAGCAATATCATTGCTCTTTTACAACAGGGGATGGAACAACATACAACAAATGGTGTGTGGAAAATAAATAACACAGGCTAGAGCCATGTGGTCA